AAAGGACTTTAAAACGAACCCTAAATTCAATGGGAAGCCACTGCAAGGAAGCGAGAACCGGAGTGATGTGATCGAATTTCCTACTACCGGTTAAAAATCGTGCCGCCGCATTTTGCACTAACTGCAGGCGTGACAAGGTGCCCGACCTGACCCCTATTAAAAGGGAATTGCAATAGTCCAGACATGAGGTGATAAAAGCATGAATAAGAGTTTCCAAATTGGGTTTGGAAAGGAAAGGCTTAACCTTCGACAGGCGTCTGAAGTGATAAAAAGCTGATTTTACCACCCCATTTACATGACCTTCAAAAGTAAGTGCAGAATCAAGTTTAACACCAAGATTAGTGATTGAACTTTTTAGATGAGAGGTCAAATCACCAAAATCAACATCTGGAGAATCTGGAGCAATGTGGGCCATATAAAATTGCATCCGTTTTGCGACCATTAAAATTCAAAAAATTATTTGCCATCCATAATTTTATATCGCTGAGACAGTCAAGCAGTGATTGACATGGGGAGGTATCCAAATGACTAAAAGGTAAATAAAGCTGACAGTCATCGGCATACAAATGAAATGACACTCCGTGTTTACGAAAAATCGCACCAAGGGGGAGTAAATACAGCGAGAAAAATAATGGCCCAAGGATAGATCCCTGGGGCACACCCAAAAGCAGAGGGGCCACAGAGGAAGCGGCCAGCCCCAGCTTGACACAAAAACTCCTTTTGGAAAGCTATGATTTTATCCATGATAATGCCAAATCAGAAATTCCCACACAGTGGTGTAAGCGGGAGATCAGCAGGTCATGGTCCACTGTGTCAAATGCAGCTGTCATGTCTAATAACACAAGCACAGCATATTTACCACGATCAGTAGCAACAAGAATGTCATTCATAACTTTAACAAAAGCTGTCTCCGTACTGTGAAAGGGCTTAAAACCAGATTGGAAGACAGTTGCGAGTCATTCAAATAATCCAACAGCTGGGTATGTACAATCCTCTCCAAGATCTTGCTTAAAAAGGGAAGCTTGGAGATAGGTCTAAAATTTGACATAATAGAACTATCAAGGCCAGGTTTCTTAAGTAAGGGGTGTATGACTGCATGTTTAAACCCACTAGGAACTTGACCGGTTAACAGACTAGTATTGATAATTTTCAGGATATAAGGTCCAATGATGGGAAATACTTTTTGGAGAAAGCAGGGAGTAACAACATTGTTCGGGGAGCCACAGGGCTTAGCATGTAGCACCAACTCCTCTAAATCACGCAGAGAAATCGGTGCAAAAGCAGAGAATAGGCTTGAGCAAGGAGCATGCATGGCCGGATCAACAATGGGGTCAAGGTGGGATCAGAGGCCTCAGGCTAGCAATCTTGTCCACAAAACAGGTAATAAACTTATTGCACATAGCCTCAGAGGACGGCAACAGGTCATAACCCTCCAAGTTAAGTACAGAATTTCTAGTATTGTATAAAACACGAGGGTTATGAGAGTTGGCCGAAATAAGTTGAGAAAAGTATCGTTTATCGGCCTTAACTGCCCTCTGATAAGTTTTCCAACTAATCTTTAGGGCTTCCAGGGAGACATGCAATCTATCTTTTTTCCACTGTCTTTCACATTTCCTACATTGTCTTCTAATAGCTCGGGTACAATCTGTTAACCATGGACTAGTCTTAGATTTACATTTTCTTAGTCTCAAAGGGGCAACAACATCAAGCACAGATTTACAAGCAAAGTCAAAATACAAAAGTAGGTCATCTGCAGTGGGCAAGTCAGGGGCATAAGACATTAATTTTTCAAACAGTATAGAAAACCGCTCAGCAGAATCAGAGCCAAAGGCACGATAACATCGAACAGGTGCAGCCTGATTTGCAAAAGCATTAGCAGGAGGAATATTAAATAAGATAGGCATATGATCAGAGAAAACTGCATCTTCAACACGTACATTGCAAACAGATAAACCATGAGATAAAACTAAGTCCAGTGTGTGACCACCAGAGATGGGTAGTAACGCGTTACGTGTTACTGTAATCTGATTACTTTTTTCAAGTAACGAGTAAAGTAAGGGATTACTATTGCAAAAAAGGTAATTAGATTATCGTTACTTTCCCGTAGGAACGCTGCGTTACTAAAACCGTGATTTTTTTGCGAGAATGTCTCATGACAGTGACGCAAGCGAGTGCGACGTTCGTGACAACAGCTGTATGCAGATCAACAATGGATCATATATCTAGTGCAGGAGAGAGTATGAGCGTGCAGCGTTTAAAGCGTGGAAGTACTGACTACTTACTTTGAGTTTGATTCCATAAAAAGTGACAAAAACATTAGCGTCCGTTGTGCGTGGGAAGAAAACTTCTTTTTACAGCGAAAAAAACCCCCTAAACAAGCACCGAGTGCGCAACGACGTAATGGGAAATTCACATAGAAACTCGCGGATTCTTCCACTGACCGCTGCGGCACACCTGCACCAGGGCAAACCTCCGCCTACGCCACTCCTGCTTTACAAGTGAAAATAGAGCAACAGGATTGCTAGTCTTTGATTTTATTTATTTTCTGCTGTGTTTTACTTGCATCTATTTGAAAGACTGAGTGTAAACACAAAAAATATTTTATTTTATGTGCTGGAATGTGCAGAAAATAGGTTTCAATGTTAAACTAATTTCTTCCAGTCAGTGAATGTTGCATATAATTTAATTTTTGCTTGATGCATAAAGTTAAAAGATTAAAACTGTTAAAACAAGTTTTAAAAAAAGAGACTTTTCCATTGATTACATTTTGTATGATGGATTATGCAGAAAAAGTAGAATTGGGCTGAAAGATCTATCGCTTTATCACCTATTCAGATTGTAAATCGTGTTTTTAAAAAGCAACTAAGTAACTAAGTAATTAATTACTTTTGAAAACAAGTAATCAGTAAAGTAACAGGATTACTTTTTGGGGAAGTAATCAGTAATTAGTTACTGATTACTTTTTTCAAGTAACTTGACCAACACTGGTGACCACGTTCTTGAGTGGCACCACTAACAGATGGGACAAAATTAAAAGAGTTCACTAAGGCAAGGAAGTCCTTGGCCAGAGGCTTCCCCAGACAGCAAAAGTGTATGTTAAAATCACCAAGCAGGAGGATCTGGTCATACCGTGAGGCACAGCCAGCAAGAAACTCTGAGAACTCGGATAAGAAGACCTTGTTATATTTCGGGGGGCGATAAACAATCGCACATAACAACGAATGCGAGTGGCCCAGTTTACATAAACAGAGTTCAAAACTGGTGTAGTGAGACGAAGGGAAAAGCTGCTTCAAGTCCAAGTGAGCCTTAAAAACAGCAGCAAGCCCTCCTCCGTGACCAGCAGCTCTTGGAACATTAAAAAAGGTACAGTCAGCAGGTACTAGTTCAATGAAACCATTCAACTCACCGGGAGAAATCCAGGTTTCAGTCAGGAAGAGCAAATCCAGAACACGAGAAAGAAAAACATCCTTCAATATGAAGGTCTTATTTGCCACCGACCTGGTATTTATTACACCCAGCCTGAGAGGAACTGGGTCCAAAACTTCCAACGCATTAGCAAGCAGATCCACCGGTCGAAGGTTTTTCTTGTCAACTCCGCGCCAGTGTAAATGTCGTAGAGGAAAGAGATTTGCAGGACCATTTTTGAAAGACCCAACAACAGGAATCAACCAGGAATCCACCGGGTCCAAGGCACGCAATGGCACCAAGAGTCGCGGACAAAAACGGCGATCAATCAATGTTTAAAGAAATCTATATCTCTAAATGTTTTGTCTTTTCTGTCATGTGATTCATCTCGCAGCTCTACATGTTTGAAAGACTTGACCTGAAGGTTTCAGTGTGAGACAACAGTGGTACCACTTTAGTGACTTTGTAGTGCTGTGCTAGTATGTTAGCACAGGCACCATTTTGTGTGTGTGTGTGCGTGTGTGCGTGTGTGTGTGTGTAAACTCAATTAAATGAGAATGCCAAATGACTGGATGCATTATGCCAATATACAGTTTATGGGTCATCCTGGTTTGACCACGTCAGGGAGTGGTATTTAAACAGAGACCAGTACAACATCCTCTTCCTGACCTACGAGGAAATGATTTTGGTAAGATGTTTCTTCACACTTTTGTTGTTCCTAAGGAAACTCAAATAAAATATCTGGCAGAGTTTAAGGTTCTTTTTCTCTTGCCTTCCTGCTTTTCTTTCAGGACCTGAAAGGATCAGTGAAGAAGATCTGCAACTTCTTAGGGATAAACCTGACTGAAGCCGCCATCAGTCAAGTTGTGGAAAAAGCTAAGTTTGAGAACATGAAGAAGGACTCGAAAGCAAACTATGAGCACATGCCACCAGAGCAGTTCAGTGGAACATTCTTGCGCAAAGGTAACGTAACAGACCTGCAGCCGCTGTGCAGAAAAATGTGATATCAGTGTATCAGGTGTTGTGTTTTTCTCTTCATTACAGGTCAGCTTGGAGACTGGAAGAACACACTGACTGTTGCACAGAGTGAAAGAGTGGATCAAGTCCTTCAGGAGAAACTTGGTGATTTGCCTTTGAGCTTCATCTGGGAATAAGCAGAGCAGCTCTTCAGGGTCTCCCAGGAGTTTTAAAAGCATTGATTTCATTCATTGGAAAGCCTTAAAATGTGTTTTTCTGCTATTTTAATTTTCAAAAAAACAACAAATGATTAATGTTTGTTTACCCAAGATTGATTCATGTTACGTAGATCATGATTCCAGGAATCAACAGTAAAATGTAAATCAGTCAACATATCTGAGATGTCTGAAACCAGTACACGACACTTTGGATTCTCATAATTTCTGAATAGTCATTAACTATTGATTTTTTTTATTCACATCACTTTTGACAGTATATCCTGACCTTCAAATAGAAGAAAATTCTTGAAATAAATGTACTTTTGCCATGAAGAAAGTCTGACCTTTGATTAACCTACAAGTGATTTCTCTTCCCATGAGTCAGCAGCCAAGACAGAAGTATCTTATTCATTTGTGTAGAAGAATTAAAAGGAAAGGATCCTACTTTGGTAACAAACAAAACATTACAAAAAGAAATGGTGCAATTGCAGTGTTATTTTGGTTAAAGTGTGGTTCAGCATGACATTCTTCCTTTATTTAATCCTATACAGAATCAAACCTCAGACCTGTAAATGGCATCCACTGAATATCATTTAATTAATATGTGAAATACAGCTTGTTAACACATGTTAGTGTAAGTTAATAGTCTATTAAAAATAACAATCTTATTTCTTTAATGGGACTTCTTTTTCTGATCATTACTGAAGATTTTCTCAACATCAGGGCTGCAAAATGTAAATTTGATTTTCACACAGCAACGCTCTGATCCGTGATCCAAGAGTAACATTTGGATTTATCTGTGAGAAACCCTTCTTACACAAGTAAACTGATCCAAAGATGGACTAAACTCCACATTATTCATCTTTATATAGCTGTCTGGAATAAAATTTCATGTTTCAAACACAGGTATGTCAGGTTTTGAGAGTCTTTTAATGTCACTCCATTTGTGGTTTTAAATGAGAACAGCCTTCTATCGTCAAGCCAATCTTCCAGCAGCAGCATTATAATGCAGTAGTCGGGGCACAGCATAGGTCAAACCAACACATTTTCTAGTAAAAGTAAAACATAAATGCTTAACACTTTAGTTTAACATTAACTATAGTACCTCTAAAATAATGTACATTCACATTCATTCATTCACATGGGGTGAAGAACAACACAAACTGTGTCTCTTCCCCTTATCCGTTTGTGTGATTCACAACTAAGATCGAGTTGATCAGTGATCGTCTGTGCAGGTATAGTAACTTCAACTTCCTGGCCAGTCACACAACTCCCGAGCACATAGACTCTCTTCAGAGTTTTGAAATAAGAAACAGCAATGTCTTGCGTCTTTTACAAAGTCAGGTCAGTGAGAAATCTCTGCAGCATCCCATTATTTTGCAGTTTTATTCTGTCCAGACTGATCTGCTGGTTACATATAATATCCCATAAATCTTCCCTCAAAAGGCTCAGCAGATCATCACTTCTATCTATGAGTTGGACGGGCATCTGAATCAATATTCTATAAACTCGCATGAAGATGCCATGGCTGGAGTTCACAGGGGTGCATACACTCATCCACAGCTCTTCAGATCACATCTGTCTCAGGCTCTAATGCTTCCAGGACTGATGGACAAGAAGGGAAAGGTCAGAGCTGTATAGACGCTCAAGCCAGCCTGAAGAAAGAGCTGGTTTTGAGATATAGTATGACAAAGTTCTTTAAGTGGTTAAAAAATAATTTGCTCATAATTTTTGTGTTTAATTGTATGAAATAAAAGATAACTTTGTTGCCGAAAAGCAGAGTTCTATTGAAGTTTTATTGTTAAGGAAAGGCATTCAAGGATTAGAGGCTTTGTATTTGTAACAAGTTCATATGAAAATTCAGATTTTCTTCTTAGTCAGTTACATAGCACTATCATCATATATCAATCAAATTGCTGATAACTTAGCACACAGCTTTTTGAAACTTAAACACTCCTGAATGGAAACAATAAACATAGTGGCAGCTTAAAGCTTCAAATGGGTCACTTTATGGTGACAACATCTAGCTTTTATATACAGCCAATGAAAACAAATTGTTTATACATTTATATAAAACAACTCTCAAAACTATCACTTCAGCAAAACACTGCAGACCTTGAGACTCCTCAGAGCTTCGATCAGTTTTTTGAGTGGTACCTGACGGGAAACAGTACGTGTCCTCATCTCCACTATCTGCCTAATGATGATGACGAAGAAGAGTCCAGGTCTGATAAATGATAACAGATATCAATGTGATCAGTAAGAACTGAAATTGATTATTTCAAACTGAACTGTGTTTGACATACTTACCCAGTTATTATCCAGTGGATAATAGCACATCCATATAAAAGAATTCAAGTTGCTTTATACTTTTCCCACATTCTGTTTCAGTAAAATATTTTTAGTATCTCACATACTGCATATTTGTTTGTTACTTTATAAATTAAAACAGTGGTACCTCAGTTATTTTACTCCTTACATTACGTAAAACGTAAAACCTTTGCTCCAAATTGAGCTATTAGAAGATAAGATAAGCCTGTGGGTTGAAGAGATAGTAATCATTGACAGGTTATTATGACAATGAAAATGTCATAATAACCTGTCATAAAAATGTCAAAGGATGTTCTACCCACTTACACAGTGTACCTGCACCGTTCCAAAGCAAACAAAGCCAACACTCAAAAACAGCTTGTAATCTTTTGAAATCATTCTCCTTTTCAACCTTTAAATCACTGCTATTCTTGTACCATCTCAGGTTTAAATACATCTTAATTTTAAAAACTCAAACACAATTTAATCCAAAGAAAATTAAAGTGAAAGATTTCCTGAAGAACTGACTTTGTTCTGTTTCCCCCCCCTTTTTTTTCTTTCTTTACTTTTGATAAGATTTAAATGACTTGCTTCAAATTAGCTTCTAACATGCTAAGTGGACCACTTGCAAAGAGGACAGTGTAGTTCCACATCTATTGCTATAATAAAAACTGCAAAAAGTTATTTGTTTGTCTAGCATAAACTTTTTTCTTCCTCCACCTGTTATCGTGCTGTTTGTACTTGAGTGATAGTGGGGTAAATATAATCAACAGACACTCGATTTTTTTTTTTTTTTTTTTTTTTTTTTTTTTTTTTTTTTTTTTTTTTTTTTTTTTTTTTTTTTTTTTTTTTTTTTTTTTTTTTTTTTTTTTTTTTAATAGGACAGGGGGAAAAGAATGAAAGAAAGAGGGGGAGAGAAAGAAAGAAAACCAAAGGGGAGAAGAGACGGTGAGAAGGGGGGGAAGAGAGAAAAAAAACAAACAACGAAAAAAACAAACTCCTGGGTCACCTGTATGGAGAAAAAACAAACAAACAAACAAACAAACAAACAAACAAACAAACAGAGGAGACAGCAAACAACAAAGAGCAACACAATAATAGAAAAAAAAGCACCATCACAATAAACTACCTAGTCATAAATATCAATAGTTACTAAATAATAGACGATATTGTTCAGCACGCAAGATAGACAGCGCTAACCAACAGACACTTGATTTTAATTGAAAATGCCAAATGAGATTTTAGCTCATGGGGGAACTATAAGATCGATGGCTCAGTGAAAAAGAATCACAACTCGCCATAATTTCTGTTGTGAGCTCTGGTAGATTTTCTTTGTGTACAGGCTGTGATCAGCTGACCTGTGCTGCTGCTGCTTTGATGTTTGCTGCTTTTTGTGGATTTGCACAAGTTTATTGTTTGAGAACCCGATGTTCCCACTTCTGTAAAGGATGGGATTTTTATGTAAATGTCAATTTGACAAGCTGAACGCATTCTGTACTGTACAGGAGACACGGCAGGAGATTGATTGACAATGCGCTGTAAAAATGCGCTGTAAAAAAAAAAAAAGCATGCAAAATTGCACACAAAAAAAAATCTGCGAAACAGCGAGGCCACGAAAGGTGAACCACATTATAGCGAAGGACCACTGTACTTCATAATTACCATCACACATTTGTTTTATCCTTTACTGCACACTGTTCATACAGGACTGACCGGAGGGCAAGAGATGGTTGCCATGGTAATGGGAGTGTGTTAAGAAATAGAGAGATATTTTTTAATGCGTATCTGCTCGTTAGATTGTTTTATGAGAGGCCCAGACTTGACTAGGTCACAGGCCGACCAGAAACTGCATGTTTTTGCAGAATATGGGGAACACACAGTGAGACTAAGTTTAGACAGGTTGCCCTGGCAACAGCCCTCAGAAAGGGGAAGGTATTGCAAGCTGCACAGGACGTTTTAGTGCACAGGCATATTAATAAATCAGACAGAAAAGAGGAACTTGTACCATATAAGGAATGTTTGTATTGAAACTGTGACATGCAAAGTACCGAAATAACACCATATAAGACACGTTGAGCTTCAAATATTAGAGATCCTGCAACTGGCGTTTTGGGCTGTGCAGGGGTCTCTCTTCCAGAAGTTGATTGAATAAAAATAAATATAAATGTTTTAACACACTATGAGTCTGTTTTCTCTGTTCTATCACGGCGACAAAAGAATCGGGGTTAATATTTGGTGTTTCCGCCCGGTTCTCCTTGCAACAGAGAGAACAAATGTGGCCGAAAGTTGGATCTGATATGAGGCAAACAGAAGACCGGTCTAAAAAGGTAGGCACAAACCTGTTCAGAGAAAAAGCAAATCTGTGCATATTGGATGAATTCTAAATTATCTGTTCGCTGAGTTACTGATCTTAACTATTAAATTAACTCAGTAGTGGTAAAACTAAAGTCTTGAGAATAAAGTAAAACTTTGAAGTAATGATAATGAAACTTGGAGAATGACAGTACTGAGTTAAAAGGGATATGTGTATTTCATGGTAAAAGAGAAAACGAAGTTATGTGTGTTTAGGATATTAGGTAATTGGTCATTTTTATGGGTTTAAGTCCCTATTGATCATAAGGTTGGACCTGCATCGGTCAAATAGTTCTGGTGGACTTTTGGTTGTTGTTTCAAATTATTATAAAGTATCCTAGGACGTAAGTTTGACTTCTAAG